GTTAATATGGTCCTATCCCTATACATTTTGGTAGAGGAATTTACGTCTACATCATTTATTTATGCAGAATATCAACGTGATATTAGTGTTTATAAGTAAATTTTGACCATCAAATCATTTTCTGAAGGGGACTTTGTATGGACTGTAGGGTCAACTGAGACCCGATCATTACGAAAATCAGCAGTATCATTAAGACTTATATAAAGTTACCCGCGTTATTGATAAAAAACAAATTTTCTAAATGAGGCTTTATATGGGAGTATAGGTCAAACATCAACCGATGTATGGGGGCTAGGGTCAAATAAGGGCCGATCATTACGAAAATCTGCAGTGTCATTTATACTTATATATTTGACGTAATTATGGCATAAAAAGCCCAAATCGGGAGGTACGGTTGTATGGGGGCTAGGTGAAATAATGGACCGATTCAAACCATTTTCAATAGGCTTCGTCCTTGTGCCAAAAAACATACTTGGTCCAAATTTCGTCAAATTATCTTGAAATTTGCGGCCTGTACATTGCGCAAAAGGTTTACGGACGGACGGACATGTCTTAATAGACTCAAAAAGTGATTCTGAATCGATCGGTATACTTTAAGGTGGGTGTAGAACCAATATTTTTGTGTGTTACAAACATCAGCGTATAACACCCTCCCCACTATAGTGGCTTAGGTTATAAAATTTATACAGAATCCACAATAAAGTTTCAAAACTTTTTTTTAACAAACCTACGAGAAACCACTAATAAATAGCATTTCGTTATAACTTTAAATGATAATATTTATGTAGGTAAATGTTAATTATGTTGTTGCCAATGACAATGATGATGAGTATTGTTCCACACAATTTTTAGACACCTCACGTCGAGTTCTGCATTAAATCAATCACTCAATTCCAATACAAAATCATACACTTATTCATTTATTCACTTTGTTAATATTGTTACAGAATTTTGAATTACCTGCCACAACTATGAGTTCTATGGAATTTTCATACTTTTCTCCGACGAACAAAATATAAATTATTTTGTTGGTCCTGGTTGCCTTGCCAAAGGCAATTTACATGGAATTGAAAAAAAAAAACATTTAAGGATTCTGTGTTGTGGTAAAGGGGACCATTTGGTTGGGAATTTAAGTAATAATTGAAATGTGTATCAAAATTGTAAAGGATTTTTGATAGAGGAATATTGTTCCATAAAATTATTTATTATTTCTCAAATGTGAATTCCAAGTATTTTTAATAAATCAAGCGATAATAAAATAATAATAAAATCTATGCGATTTTCATTGCAATTTTTGGTTTTAACTGGCATTTCAGTAATTTTGAGTTTTTATGCTTAATATACTTAAAGCTTAAATGCATTATAAGCTGCTTTCAATTTTTCCTAATTTATTATTGATTATTTATCTTTATACATACATATATTGTTTATCCCTGTAGGATGTAAGTAGTATGAGTTAATACTTTGTTGGTATTTCAAACAATTTTATTTCATTTCTTAAACACATAACAAATATTTTATAAAAAAACCAACCTAAAGATAAATAAATAAAATTCTGGGGCTTATATCTTTTACGATATAGTTGGGTTTGTGGTGGTTTAAAAATTCATAAAAAATGCATTAGAATTTAACTTGATTTTACAATTGGCTGAGTTTCACTTTGAACCATTATTATTAATAATACATTATAAAGTTTTTTTTTATATATAAATTTTATTACATTGTTATAACGTTATGTTTTACTACAACCAAAAAATGTTCGAGCAAAATTGTCTGCTGAACAAAATGTTATATGAAATGAATATTTCAAAATTGAAATTATAATACGAGTATAGGAGGTAGTACAAATACAATAAATTATATTGATTTTTCACTCAACTGTATAATAAAATCAATCTCTTGACGAACATTAAAATTTATCTTTACAAATGTTGATGAAAGGGGGCGGGGGTGTATGAAGAAAATGTTTTGTTCAGCATTTAGTAAGGAATTTTTTTTATGGTCTTCTTAATGGAAGATAAGTAAGTCGAATAAAAGTAATATATCCTTTTTTTATTTTCATTTTTTTAAATATGGTAAGATAAGATATATGTTAAAAGAAGTTAAGATAAAATTAGTTGAAACTAAATACAGTGTAAAATTGAAATTTATTATATTTTTTGTATTCTGCAGAAAATGTTTGAAAAAGTTTCTGTTTTAATTCAATTTTTTACATATGGGCAATTCCGTGGCAAGTTACCCAACTTTAAAATCGATCTCTACCGATTGATAGATATCCCACTCGCATCCCATTTTGGACTATAAACTGAGCAAAGAAAAATGTTAAAAAATTAAAAAAAAAAATTTTAGAAACAATGAGGAAATAGTTATCTGTATGACCAAAATGTCCAATTTTGACCCACTCTAAGTCCGGCAGTTCATGACCGATAGAGCTGAAAGTTTGTGTCTGGCCTACTATCCGATACTATCATATAAAACTATTTTTTGAGTTAGGTCACTTGACACGAAATTGCCCATATATTAGGTTTTTATTCTATACAATATTTTCAATAAATTTATTTTTCAATAGATAATATGCAAGAAATTTTCTATTGCATAGAAACTTTTCGATAAATTTTCTATTTCTTAGAATATTTTCCATAAATATGCTATTCTGTAGAAACTCTTCAGTAAGTTTTCTATTCGATATAATAGATAATGTTGCTGATACATTTTCTATTCCATATTTTCAATAGAAAATCGTATTTTCTTTTCGGGGGAGTTTCCTACCGAGCGCGTCCTTGGGTGGCGGATAGGGGTGGTGATGAACCATCTGTCCTTTCCCAGATTTAGAGTCACTTAAGCTGAAGGAGGGCTGATTGTCCACCACCAGGTAATGTTATATTCTCCGCGGACTGTAAAAACTGTAAAAAACAAAAATAAAAAGATAAAAGTTACGGTGCGGGCCTAAATAACCCAGGACCGGCGACAAGTGTTGATCTACTCGCGAGTCACGTGTCGTCGTCATCCTGCAATCATGAGCAAAATACTACTACGGAGGTGGATATCTTGGCCTCCGTGAGGGACAAGGCGTCAAGTGTACAGCATGCCATTGGCAAAAACATAGGGGTGAAAGAGAAGGATGTACTCGGAGAGAGCTCTAAACTCAGCCTTTAAATACAGGTGAGGGCTCCGAATCTGAATCATGAGAGGATATTTACAACACCATTATAGCAAATCCCAAAAAAGGATGAAATATAGTAGAGCAAATTGTGAATGAGTTGAGTGATAGCATAGCTAAACTACCTATTACTAAGAAAAGACTTTCTGGAGCACAGAGGATGGAGTTGAGAAAGATGCTTCAAGAAATCATAGTTAGTCAATTCCAAGACATTCCAAAGGAAAAAATCGGACTCTCTCACAAGATCTGAGGCAAAGAGCATCAGGTCTCCCGAGGAGTTGACAACTGAGAATAAACCTTAGAAAAAAAGAGCTACCCGTCTTCTAATACACAGTCGAAGCCAAGCCTTACATAACTCAAAGGAAACTCAAGTTAGAATCCTGCGAGTAAGGTTGACAACGCTAAGCCAGATATTCCGAAGACGAACACGTGGGCGAAATCAACCTCGAAGGTAAGGGTATTTCAAAAGAAGTCCCGAAAAACGAGGAAGGAGAAGTAAGACTGTGGAAAAGGAAAAGAGCCGCCATCCTACGCCAAAGTTGCCAGAAGAAGACACCGGGGCGATCTCTGCTATGCAGTTTAAGATGCCGGTTATCCAAAGCCAAAATTCCAATAGACCAAGTAAAATAGAAGACCTGGTCAACAATAAGATAGTGAACCACGCAATCGCTTCAAAGGTCAAGCCAAGCCAAAGACTTTATTGCTGTTTTAGAAACGTTTTCTATTCGATGGCAATTTTCTACTCGATTTTTATGTCTTAAAAACTTTAAGATTTTGATAAAGTTTTTGTTATTTTTTTTTTATTTATTTTAAATAGTTTTCTTAATAATTTATTAGGCATTTTTGTTTAATTCTCAATTTAAGTTCAATTTTGTACTAGTATTCTATTAATTAAATACTTAACCCAAATAAAATAAGAGATAAAGCTTAATCGTTATGCTAAATAGTTGTTTTCTCCTTAATGTAGTTTTAATGTTAATGAGACAGTATGTTATAATGCTGTGCCGAATTTTAAGTACCCTGCACCTTAAACTATTTATATAAATTATGAAATTAAAAATTGTATATAAATTAAAAAAACACTGTTATCACATTTACATTTAATATAACATGTAATTGGCTAAAGATTGTAAGGAAATTAAGAAGTAGTATTGCAATAGAAAACGATTTTTCTGTTGTAGATCGATATGGACTGTGTAGGACAGGCGATGGACGGACGGAGAGACAGACGGACAGACAGAAAGACAGACATATAGATAGACACACAGACAGACGTAATTGCTAAATGTATCAGACAGGCGATGGAGGGACGGAGAGACAGACAGACCGTACATTGCTAAATCGGCTGAGAATTTCATAAGGACCAAGTAAATGGATAAAAATATTTCTCAATGTTACACACGGAATAACAAACTTAAATATATGTATATACCTGGTGTACAAAAACCAAAAAAGAACAAATAAACACAATATGACATTAATTGGCAGTTGTTAAGCTTGTTGTTTTTATTGTTGGCTTTTTTGTTATTGTTGTAAGCATTTTGTTGAAAGGTAAGAAAAAGTTTTCGAAAGCCTTCCAATTATTGTTATAATAGTTATAAACTCATTAATTTCTTTGTATCGTTTCCCTTTTCTTACCCCTTACTCTTTTTTGTCTTCTTTTCCTGTTTTACTATTTAAATTGAAAGAAAATTACAAAGACATTTTCCAAGATAAAGACTTTATTGCTGTTCTATTTAAGATTTTGTGTTTCTTTTTTTTCATCTACCAATTAGATATTTCTTTTCCCAAAGTTTCTAATTATGCGAATGTATTCTTCTTTTGTCTGTCTTTTCAGATTGTTGTTGGTGTTTTAAATAAAGGCGAGAAATACATTTTTGGAATTTGAAATTTTATACTTTAACTAAAAGGGTAAGTAATTGTTTTGTTTTTCACTATGTAGTATTTAGCTTTGTTAAATAGTGTTGACAGATGCTATGGGCTAGAGTAGAGTTACGTTAATTTTATAGAGTATAATTAAGGTTCAATGCTCTAGTTGCTTAAGATGTTTGTGTTAAATAATTATACGTTTTTTTCTATTGTATTATTAGTAAAATAAATTAATGTAAATTTGTGTATTTAACTTAATTTATTTGAATTGTATTTGTAACATTGTTCATTTTAGAAAATGTTTGCATGTTTTCCATTTAATACAAGGACTATTTATTGTTTATTTATTATTAAAATGTTATTTAATTTAATAAGAATTTTGTGATCATTAGATGTAGACGAAAGCATTTTTGCTTCGTTACAAAAATTATAAACATACCAGTAAAGTTTCGAGAGTTTTTTTTTTTGGAAATCTAACAAAGTCGTCATTAACATTACTTTGATAAAACACAACTGCTTCTTAATTTCATTATTATTATTATTTTTTTTTTTTTTTTGTTCTTTCAATTAAAATCCAATAATATACATACATATATGTACATGTCAAATAAAAACCTTGTAAATCATTTGCACAAAATGCTTTTTCGTACTGGAAAACCCCCATGCATTTTGAAACTATGAAGTGGATATAAATTTGCAATAACAATAACAACAATGAAATTTAATGAATTTAAATAAAAAATCTATTTTCTACCTTAAGTTGCTTCTTTTGTTTCTGAAGTTGTCGTGTTCATCTGATTACAATGACAGAAATAATTAAGGGGAGGAGATGAACCCAACAACATTTTAGTTAAACGTTTATTTCAGAAGATATGCAATTTGTTAAATTTAATATAATTTATAATAATCTATAGTTAGTTAGTTAGGAAGTTAGTTAGTTAGTTAGTCAATCAGTAGTTAGTCGTTAGTGAGTAGTCAGGTAGTTAGTTAGTTAGTAGTTAGTTCGTTAGTTAGTTTAGTTAGTCGTTAGTTAGTTAGTTAGTTAGTTAGTTAGTTAGTTAGTAGTTAGTTAGTTAGTAGTTAGTTAGTTAGTAGTTAGTTAGTATAGTTAGTTAGTTAGTAGTTAGTTAGTAGTTAGTTAGTTAGTCGTTAGTTAGTTAGTTAGTTAGTTAGTTAGTTAGTTAGTTAGTAGTTAGTTAGTTAGTTAGTTAGTTAGTTAGTTAGTTAGTTAGTTAGTTAGTTAGTTAGTTAGTTAGTTAGTTAGTTAGTTAGTTAGTTAGTTAGTTAGTAGTTAGTTAGTTAGTTAGTTAGTTAGTAGTTAGTTAGTTAGTTAGTTAGTAGTTAGTTAGTTAGTTCGTTAGTTAGTTAGTAGTTAGTTAGTTAGTTAGTTAGTTGTTAGTTAGTAGTTAGTTAGTTAGTTAGTTAGTTAGTTAGTTAGTTAGTTAGTTAGTAGTTAGTTAGTTAGTTAGTTAGTTAGTTAGTTAGTAGTTAGTTAGTTAGTTAGTTAGTTAGTTAGTTAGTTAGTTAGTTAGTTAGTTAGTTAGTTAGTTAGTTAGTTAGTTAGTTAGTTAGTTAGTTAGTTAGTTAGTTAGTTAGTTAGTTAGTTAGTTAGTTAGTTAGTTAGTTAGTTAGTTAGTTAGTTAGTAGTTAGTTAGTAGTTAGTAGTTAGTTAGTTAGTTAGTTAGTTAGTTAGTTAGTTAGTTAGTTAGTTAGTTAGTTAGTTAGTTAGTTAGTTAGTTAGTTAGTTAGTTAGTTAGTTAGTTAGTTAGTTAGTAGTTAGTTAGTTAGTTAGTTAGTTAGTTAGTTAGTTAGTTAGTTAGTTAGTTAGTTAGTTAGTTAGTTAGTAGTTAGTTAGTTAGTTAGTAGTTAGTTAGTTAGTTAGTTAGTTAGTTAGTTAGTTAGTTAGTTAGTTAGTAGTTAGTTAGTTAGTTAGTTAGTAGTTAGTTAGTTAGTTAGTTAGTTAGTTAGTTAGTTAGTTAGTTAGTTAGTTAGTTAGTTAGTTAGTTAGTTAGTTAGTTAGTTAGTTAGTTAGTTAGTTAGTTAGTTAGTTAGTTAGTTAGTAGTTAGTTAGTTAGTTAGTTAGTTAGTTAGTTAGTTAGTAGTTAGTTAGTTAGTTAGTTAGTTAGTTAGTTAGTTAGTTAGTTAGTTAGTTAGTAGTTAGTTAGTTAGTTAGTTAGTTAGTTAGTTAGTTAGTTAGTTAGTTAGTTAGTTAGTTAGTTAGTTAGTTAGTTAGTTAGTTAGTTAGTTAGTTAGTTAGTTAGTAGTTAGTTAGTAGTTAGTTAGTTAGTAGTTAGTTAGTAGTTAGTTAGTTAGTTAGTAGTTAGTTAGTTAGTTAGTTAGTTAGTTAGTTAGTTAGTTAGTTAGTTAGTTAGTTAGTTAGTTAGTTAGTTAGTTAGTTAGTTAGTTAGTTAGTTAGTTAGTTAGTTAGTTAGTTAGTTAGTTAGTTAGTTAGTTAGTTAGTTAGTTAGTTAGTTAGTTAGTTAGTTAGTTAGTTAGTTAGTTAGTTAGTTAGTTAGTTAGTTAGTTAGTTAGTTAGTTAGTTAGTTAGTTAGTTAGTAGTTAGTAGTTAGTAGTTAGTTAGTTAGTAGTTAGTTAGTTAGTTAGTTAGTTAGTTAGTTAGTAGTTAGTTAGTTAGTTAGTTAGTTAGTTAGTTAGTTAGTTAGTTAGTTAGTTAGTTAGTTAGTTAGTTAGTTAGTTAGTTAGTTAGTTAGTTAGTTAGTTAGTAGTTAGTTAGTTAGTTAGTTAGTTAGTTAGTTAGTTAGTAGTTAGTTAGTTAGTTAGTTAGTTAGTTAGTTAGTTAGTTAGTTAGTTAGTTAGTTAGTTAGTTAGTTAGTTAGTAGTTAGTTAGTTAGTTAGTTAGTTAGTTAGTTAGTTAGTTAGTTAGTTAGTTAGTTAGTAGTTAGTTAGTTAGTTAGTTAGTTAGTTAGTTAGTTAGTTAGTTAGTTAGTTAGTTAGTTAGTTAGTTAGTTAGTTAGTTAGTTAGTTAGTTAGTTAGTTAGTTAGTTAGTTAGTTAGTTAGTTAGTTAGTTAGTTAGTTAGTTAGTTAGTAGTTAGTTAGTTAGTTAGTTAGTTAGTTAGTTAGTTAGTTAGTTAGTTAGTTAGTTAGTTAGTTAGTTAGTTAGTTAATTAGTTAGCAGCTGTTTGCAACGTATAACACGAACAGTTTTGATTTCAGCATAAACTAGTAGCTTCATATGGCCTCACATGAAATTATAGAAGGATGTGAAATCGCAAGATCTTGGGTCTAGTAGACGGGTCCGTTTCATGTCGTGATGATTTGCCATAGTATACTGATCATGACTGTTCGTTTGACAGTTGACCTTTTTTTAATTTCTGTCTGGTTAAAACCAAAACCTTTTTTGAAGTAAAAAAAAAATTAAGAATATTTATAATAGAAAACTCATTCAAAATTTCCTACAGAACAGAAAATTTATCTAAAAGTTTTTACGGTATTTTTTATTTTTATAAATTTATTTGAAAATTTATTAATATTCCTTTTTCGATGTTTATTTCGTTAAGCCATCCTAATCTGTAGTTATACAGGTATATATTATGTATGGTATTTAAACCTTAACTATACATAATTGTTTGCTTTTTTCCAACGATATAGTTGTCGTGTCTTTTTAATGGCATTTGTTTTTGCTAAATATGTGGGATATCATAAATACAGAATACATATTCTGATGTTTGTATATACAGTAAATATTGTACTTTTATGTGGGTACAAATGTGTGTACGATATTTGTACTAAAATACACAGGAAAAAAAAATTACCATATTAAGTTTAATATAATATTGCATTATACTTGCAAAGGCTACAGATTAATATCAACATATAAATTTAAAACAAATATGTATTAATTTCAGGGGCATTTTTTTTTATAAAATTTACTAATATTTTTTCCTTAGTGTAAGTTTATATTACATATTTATTGTTGATGATTAAATCGTTATTATAGTTGTCGTTGATGACAATAACAATAATGATGACGATGTTGTTGTTGTTGCTAATGCTGTAGCCGTTAATGATGATGACGCCGAAGTTGTTGATAACAATTGTTATCAAAATAAGCGGAAAAATAGTTTCACGTTTGGTTTAATTGTGTTCTTCTTTATTGTTGATACCTTTTTCTCCCCCGAAATAATTACAAAATACTTAAAAACATTATGCCTTTTAATGGAACATTTGCTGTTTTTGCAAGTTAATTTATGGTAAAAAAATAAAAAAAAAACCAACATTCAATTGTGGTGGTTTAACATACAATATGAATTTCACTGATGCGTAAAACTATTTTAGCAACTGTCTGATTAAAACACACAATTGTTTGGAGTTATTAAACTTTATAAAATTTAAAAACATATTTTGGTTTAAAGTTTACAGTTATGTATTTTACACATAAACTTTTGTTCATAGATTTTTTAACTACTTTTTTAAATCAATAAATTAAAGTTATTGAATGTCTTTAGTCCTGCTCAGCTGGCTTTTTCTATCTTGAGAATTTTATTAACCGCATAGCTAAAATAACTTGAAACTCCACTTTTATCCAATAACATTTTCAGTTTTCATATTTTTATTGTACTAGTTTTCCAATTGAATTCCTTGTTATCATGTCTCAATACCCAACAGCCTTTTAGTTTATTTAACGTAAATTTATTTTCAATATTATTTTCAGATACACATCTGGTTGATTGTACTTTATAAAGTATATAAAGGCAAATGCAAAACAATGTACATACATACATATATAAAAATGAATATATAAGAAACAATTTAAAGCTGAACATAGTAAAAATACGAGATTATTGATACATATTCCGAAATCCTTTAAAATCCTATTTAGAGAACCAGAAAACCTCCATTGAAAATTATGTTTGAAATATAAAATTTTTCAAAAACATTTCGAGTAGAAAATTTATTGAAAATTTCCTATAGAATAGAAAACTTGTGAAACACTTTTTATAGAACATCACCTTTTTAAAAAATTTATGAGCAATTTTTAATAGAGTAGAATATTTCTACAGAAACTTTAACTTGTCTATAG